ATGTATGTATGTATGTATTTGGGTAGTCACTATCAGATCAATATACATGCAGATAAGTTCTCAATGTATGCTCATGTACACTTCCGCTCGACATCTCTTTTATAAACGAGATTAATATTGAGGTACAATTTATATGTTGAATTGCTTACATACCTGTTGGACATTATTCCAACATTACCTTAACAACAATTTAACAAAATGTTATACTACAGAACGGGATTTCCGTATCAAATGGAGGACACACGCCGCAGCAAATGGTTCATGACTCACTACGGTACTGGCTGATCCCAATCTCATCTACGTACCTACCTCCATGGTTTGGTGGGGTATTCTAGGCAGTATCCTGAGACGCGTGTGTGTTGTGTGTTCCATGTTCCATTGTAGCAGTTGCTTGGGTTCTCTTCAGTGCGCTATATCGCGTCTTAAACGCTTTTAGTGCAGTTGCTGCGGTGCAGTGGGTGTGGCCTGCTGTTGAAACGGCGGTCGGATACGCGCGAACTATGCAATGTGTTTCGCGCATTCGTTGTTCGCTTCGATGGCCTTTTTTTAAATATGTTGGGTGTTGTACATGTGTGAATGTTTATGCACGTGTGTGATACCTTTGAAGCTCGGCACACAGACCCACACGTCAATCGTAGAAGAACGACAACAGTGTGTACTATATGTGAGAGTTCACAATGTTTATAGATATACATGTGTTTTATATGTTACGATACTATACATGTGTTTTATATGTTATGATACTATACATGTATTATATATACATACATCTATACATGTTTTTCCTTGGCATGAATCCGAATGTGCCATACGCCCCATTCAATCTCGTTCCTTTATCCATTTCATCAGGTGTGACGGATGGCTCGGAAGTCAGTGTCAACCAGGAGAGCACAGTACCAGGGGACGAACAAGCGGCGGTCAAGGAAGAGGACGAACCCGCTATGGTATGTATTCGTATTCGCGTCTGTCGACAGCTTTGATTGTTCTTTGGCGTATGTGTGTATCTGTATGTAGTGTAAGTATATGCGGAAGTAAACGTGAAGCTATACAGCTTAATATTCGTCTATCGACGGCGCTGGTTGTATCTTTACGTACATGCGCATCAATATTTAGTGTGTGTGAAAGGGTATGAAACCATGAAGTATATCTGTAAAAAATGTGTCCGATGGCTTTGAATGTTGATTTGCATACGAGCGTATCTGCGCTAGGTGTTTGTATGTATATGAAAACTGAGTGTCTGACTGAACTCTTGCGTCTGTGCACAAAAGATATGCGTAATACCTCATTGGTACTAGTGATCATTTTAGTTTTGTTTTGTTTTTTTTGTCACAAATTGATCCTGTGAGTTAGAGATTACACGTCTCGACTCGCATATACCTATTGCAAGTCTGCATTTAAATGGGTAGAAATATATCAGTAGAAACAAAGCCAAAGGATAGACAGGTCATCATGTCCATACACATTCACAATATTCCCCAGACAAAATTGATGAAGATGTTTTTCTATTTATATGGAATGATTGCTGGTGGAATGTTTACAACTCCCGGCTGCGGAGGTTGGTATCAACTGTCACACACAACAGTATTCGTCACTTTTGAACAAAACTGCACACGATCGAACTACCACATAGGGCTGTTTATAGTCTGATATGCTGTCTAGTATGTAGCCGCCATATATCGAATTGTACTTATTCACTACGAAATATTTAATTTCTCAGGTGGAAACTAGACAACCCCCAGTAGCTGCAGAGCCCGAGGTTGTGGAAGTTGTGGATCTAGACTTCGATTTCGGGTCCAGTGATGATGACTCCGACTGATATTATTTCAAGAACCGAACCATTCATTCGAAAACTACAAATAAAATAATAGAATGATAAGCCATCGAATGAAAGTTGCTATACTTAAATTATAGAATAAGCAATTGAAAGAAGTTACTATACCTAAAATAAGGAATGAGAGGCAATCGAATGAAAGTTTCTATACTTCAATTATAGAATAAGCAATTGAAAGAAGTTACTATACCTAACATAAGGAATGAGAGGCAATCGAATGAAAGTTGCTATACTTAAATTATGGCAGATACAATCGAAAGAAGTTACTATACATAAAATAAGAAATGAGAGGCAATCGAATGAAAGTTGCTATGCTTCAATATAATATAAAATTAGAAGTGATGGCAAGAAAGTCACTATACCTAAAAAAAGAAAGAGAGGCAAACGAATGAACGTTGATATACTTCAATTAAAGAACGCGAAGCAATGAAAAAAAGTTGCTATAGTCAAAATAAGGATTGAGAGGCAATCAAATAGAAGTCGCTATACATAAATGATTGAATAAGAAGCAATGAAAAGAAAGATACTATAGTTTTAAAACAAAAGAATGAGAGGCAATCGAATGAAAGTCACTATACTTAAATTATAGAATTAAAAAGCAATGAAAAGAAAGATACTATAGTTTCTATAGTTTCAAAACAAAAGAATGAGAGGCAAAATACTATAGTTCAAAACAAAGAAAGAGAGGCAATCGAATGAAAGTTGCTATAATTAAATTAGAGAATACGAAGGAATGGAAAGAAAGATACTATAGTTTTAAAACAAAAGAATGAGAGGCAAAATACTATAGTTTCAAAACAAAGAATGAGAGGCAATCGAATGAAAGTTGCTATACTTAAATTATAGAATACGAAGGAATGGAAAGAAAGAAACTATAGTTTTAAATTTAAGGATGAGATGCAATCGAATGAAAGTTGTTATACCTTAATTATAGAATAAGAAGCAATGGCAAGAACGGTCCTATAGTAAAAAAAAACGGAATGACAGGCAATCAAATGGAAGTTGCTGCACTTGAATTATGGAATGATACGCAATAGAAATAAAGATACTGTAGCCAAAATAAGAAATTAGCGGCAATCGAAAAAAAGTTGCTATACTTTTTTAAATCATGTAATAAAAGAAGCTATGGAAAGAAAGTTACTATAGTTTTTAAAAAAAGAAAAAAATGAGTGGGAATCGAATAAAAGTCGCTATACTTGTAGAAATACGGCCTCCGGTCAGTCTAAAATATCAAGATCAAATGAGATAC